AGGCTTCACTCTTTCAATATCCTGACTTTTCTGTAACATCTAAAATTGTGATCAGTACTCTGAAATTTTACTGGGCAGAAAAACTGCAGAAAGGATACTAAAGAGGCAAGAATGAGGAGGAAATTCCAGATAAAAGAGAGTTGAAAGAGGGCGTCCTCTAAATCTAAGTTTGAAGCTATACATATCCCAGACTAACTCCTGAACCACCCACCAATCACTTCTCATTATTCCAGAAATAATCACTTTCATAGTTTGATGTATATAATTTCAAGGTTTCAATATAGATATATAAGCACTATTATACACACATGCATGTATATACATACAGCTTTGTTAAAATATATTCCCACATAAACATCCAAAAATATGTTAATTGTGACTTATTTCTCAATGGTAGCATTGCTGTATTTTCTAAGTTTTTACAATAAGCATGTATTATTTTTACTATCAAATATTAATAAAATAAGTACAATGTTTTTAAGGAAACAAGATCTTGCTAGATAACTTTCTAGAAGGATGTAAAAAAGAAAGGAAATGCAGACAATGGATGAACTTTCATGAGGAAGAATTATAGTCCCAGATCATTAAAATTAAATAATACAAAGAAAAGGAACATGATAAAAGAGGGGACTGGCTGTTTACATCTACCCCAAAAGGTAAATATTTCTTCCTGTACTGCAAGTTTAAATCATGTTTTCATAGCCATGAATATGGTTCACGGTTTTTCATTTGGAGGAACAAGAGTAAATTAATCTGCTAGCTATCACACCAGTCTGAGAAAGTCAAGCCTTTGGGTTGGAATATGTGTACATACAGTTAATCTGAGATGAGATATAAGACAATTAAAGGAAACAGAAATTTTGAACAGTTTAAACGTTTTGCTCAAAATACTATTGGTATAAAAATAAGGACAATTTGACTACTCAAATCAAGGGATATTTGAGCTGGACATAACTTCAGAAACCATGTGGACAGAGTATTCATCTTCTACATGGGGAAACAAATATTCAAGGAAATTAAGTAGCTCGGTCTAGTCACCGAGGATCTAGTAAATGGAGGTTGGGATATGGATGTATACAAATTCCTGATCCAGAGTTCTTGCTCCTAGAACATCACTGCTGCCAGCTCTTAGAGAAGCAGAGTGGTAAATGAAAATCAAAATAGTCTTGATGGCCAGGCGCAGTGGTTCATGCCTGTAATCTCAGCACTTTGGGAGCCCAAGGCGGGTGGATTGCTTGAGACCAGAAGCTCAAGACCAGCCTGGGCAACATGGTGAAACCCTGTCTCTACCAAAAAATACAAAAAGTAGCCACACGTGGTGGCACCCACCTGTAGGCCCAGCTACTTGAGATGATGAAGTGGGAGAATCCCTTGAGCCCGGGAGGCAGTGGTTGCAGTGAGCCAAGATCACACCATTGATCTCCAGTCTGGGCAACAGAAGTGAAAACATGTCTCAAAAAAAACACAAAAAAACAAAAAACAAAAAGTGGAGGAGTAAAACAACTAAGGAAAATATAACAACTCTTGCTTGGGGGAAAATAAATTCTACTACTCTGAGGAATGCAGCAGCACAAGATGGGCCAAGAAAACCAGGTCTGAGACCACAGGTTTACTTGCAGGAGCAGGTCAAGTGAGTCAAGACTAAGGACAATTATTCTAGAAAGGGGCACAAGAAGATGCATTCAGAGGGATAGGAACGCCATTGGCAAACAGGCTGGTAGCCTGGATCTCAGATGAAGAATGTTACTCAGTCCCAGAAGACAGAACGTTGGCAGAGATCAAGAGGCTAGCAATTCACAAAAGCCCACATAGGAAGTAAGGCAGTGGGTACAAGGGAGTGAAGGCAGCCAAGATTCATTGATAGGAAGAGCTCACTGTGGGTCAGCCAGCTACTGAGGAAGGTCTCCTCTACTCCCTCGGGTTGCTCTGTCAACACTGAGCTCAGAGACCAAAGCAGAGGGAAATTTCTAGAGAAACAATGAAGCTGCAAAGTTATTGCAAACTCTGGCAACCTGCCATGACCTAGCTGAGCAGGGAAGCAACAGGGCTAAGGAGATAAAAGGAAATGCATGAATCTGGGTGAGGTGGCTCCAGTGGCCTTCTGCAGGAGTGACTTTCCACAGTCATAATTTGACTTGATGTATAAGAACACATGCAGTCTGCTTCCCACCATTAAGAGAAGCCAGCCAAGAATGGGTGTGATTAAATAACCTTCATGGTTGAACACAAAATGGTAAGACGCAAATCTGTGAATTACCAAATTAAGATTAGTGAGAAAAGGCCAGGCACGGTGGCTCATGCCTGTAATCCCAGCACTTTGGGAGGCTAAGGCGGGTGGATCACCCGAGGTCAGGAGTTCGAGATCAGCCTGGTCAACATGGCAAAACCCTGTTTCTACTAAAAATATGAAAAATTAGCCAGGCGTCATGGTACATGCCTGTAATTCCAGCTACTTGGGAGACTAAGGCATGAGAATCACTTGAACCTGGGAGGCAGAGGTTGCAGTGAGCCGAGGTGCCACTGCACTCCAGCCTGAGCAATAGAGAGAGACTCTGTCTCAAAAAAAAAAAAAAAAGTGGGAAAAAAGTCTCAAACTATAGGAACAAAATTATTTTTCAAGTTGCTCCATAGTTGTTAGTTTTGAACTAACAATTTGTGTCTACATTTATATGTGGTAAATTAGTTTGAAATAAGATTTTTTTTAAAAAGGTAGGAAAGCTGTACTAACATATTGTCTTAAATATTTCCACAGTTTGTTTTACTGCCTCCACCAAGAGGTTCATCCTATGGTTCCTGTTACACCCATTGGCAGCACATACAAATTTCAAAGTCAGTTATTAGAAGGCAAAGAAATCTTTTCAAATGGTAAAACTTTATATTCAGAATGATACAAGGTCAGTAAGAAGACCACACCCCACAGAAGCAGCATTTGATCAGTTTATATCCTTTTTTTAGATAGAAGTCATTTAGGTTGTGGCCAAAATGGTGCTGTGTGTATTACCCTTTCTAGGATGGTGAAGATTCATAATACTTTAAAAATCAGTAAATGTATCTAAAATGTATAAGCAAACTTCTGGTTCTGATCTAAAACATTTATCAACTTAGAAAACCTACTTGAAGTCTTCTACAGATGAACTAACAAAAAAAAATTTCCAGATACTATATTTGTTGCAGGTGAAACTTAAGCATAAGTAGTATACAAAGAACACGAGACTTGAATGGCATTCTCCACTATGGTAGGCCTCTGTTCCACTCTATCACTCACACTTATGAAGTACTATGCCCCAGTCTTCTCAAGGACAATAAGTCACCATTTCAAGAGATAATTAACTCTTTTGCAGACAACAAGTCTTTATAACTATAAAGTGAACAATTTCTTTTTAATTCTCTTATCATCAGTAAAGTCTTTACTTTTCAAAAGGACACGAGTTTAATAAATTCTGTGATGTCCTGGGATATCTAAAAAGAAACCTCAGAGCTTTCAGGAAACTATTTTGCACAATACTTTTGTTATAAGAAAGTTATGTCCTGAACACTTAATAATGAACACATTTGGAATTTCAGTGGTTATTATTTCAGGTCCCTACATAATTTTAAATATACTGGCTACTATTACTTCCAAGTAAGGAAAAAAATATTTCTGTGTTGATTCCTAAATAACAGCTTACAATATTTAAAAAAATTTTTAACATTTTTTTTGAGACGGAGTCTCTCACTCTGTTGCCCAGGCTGGAGTGCAGTGGCGTGATCCTGGCTCACTGCAAGCTCCGCCTCCCGGGTTCACGTTATTCTCCTGCTTCAGCCTCCCAAATAGCTGGGACTACAGGTGCCCACCACCACGCCTGGCTAATTTTTTTGTATTTTTAGTAGAGATGGGGTTTCACCGTGTTAGCCAGGATGGTCTCAATCTCCTGACCTCGTGATCCGCCCATCTTGGCCTCCCAAAGTGGTGGGATTACAGGCTTGAGCCACCACGCCCAACCTTTTTGGGGGCGGGGGGAGGGGGATGGAGTCTCACTCTGTCACTCAGGCTGGAGTGCAGTGGTATGATCACAGCTCACTGCAACCTCTGCCTCCCAGGTTCAGGCAATTCTCCTGCCTGAGCCTCCCAAGTAGCTGGGACTACAGGCGCGCACCACTATACCCAGCTCTTTTTTTGTATTTTTAGTAGAAACGGGGTTTCACCGTGTTAGCCAGGATGGTCTTGATCTCCTGACCTCGTGATCTGTCCGCCTCAGCCTCCCAAAGTGCTGGGATTACAAGTGTGAGTCACTGCACCGGGCCCAAAATTATCTAGATTTATAAATCAATTCAATAATTTAAAATTTAAAAATACTTAAATATCTATTTTGAATGGGTAGAATTTGTGTGGAGCAGGAGTTGTTTTTTGTTACTAAATCACTTCAAATAACTTGTTTGGGTTTTTTACTTTCTGGAAGATTTCAGTTAGCTATCAAATTGATTTAGTCTTACCTCATGTCCTTAAATCAATCCCCTATTTAAATTATCATTTGAATCATTCACATACTTATACTATGAAATATCCATATATTTTTAAATGAGGGTTTGTCTTTCTTTTTTTTTTTAAGACAGAGTTTCACTCTGTCATCCATGCTGGAGTGCAGTGGCCTGATCTCGGCTCACTGCAACCTCCGCCTCCTGGGTTCAACCTCTTCTCAGCCTCCTGAGTAGCTTGGACTATAGGCACACACCACCATGCCCAGCTAATTTTTGTGTTTTTAGTAGAGAGGGGTTTCACCGTGTTGGCCAGGCTGGTCTTGAACTCTGACTTCAGATGATCCACCCGCCTTGGCCTCCCAAAGTGCTGGGATTACAGGCGTGAGCCACCTCACCCAGTCAGAGGTTTGTCTTTCAAAAAGTGAAGGGTTCATATTTTCAGTGCAGAATAAAATAATAACTTCATGAGGTGAGATTATAAAATTGAGGTCAAAACCACAATATATTTCTTAAACTATAAAAAGAAATCACTTAAACAAGACCTTTCAAGGGATTTTGGAGGCTTGGATAACTCTTGATACACGAATATAAGTTTTTGTTGTTTCAATCTTTTCTTCCATTTCATCTTCTTTTTCTTGGGATAAACAATGTAACTAATGCCAGCTTTTTTAGATGCTTCAATGAGAGTCAAAGAGAGATTTCTCAAACTGTGTTTTTCGCACATGTTATCGAAGATGTCATCTATATTTTTTTTCACAGGGATGGGTTCCTCAGTTTTATTTTGCTTAGTGAGCTGGAGCTGACGTTTCAATTCCTTTGTTTTCTGAAACATAACCTCTTTTATACTGCTTTGCATATCATTCTTGATTTCCAAAGGAGCTATGATATCCTCCTTCCTCAAGTCTACAGCAGATTTTACTTGCTTAGTAAGCAAGCAAAGAGGTAGAAAAAGTGCAAAATCAATTTAGTTGCTATGCATTCAAAATTAATTAATTCTGTTACAATTACTATTAATGTGGTTTGGTCACTTAATTTAAAAGTTTAAAAATCAGTATTTTTAAAATTATTCAAGTCAGCTGATAAAGTTAATAGTGGGTTAGTTCAAGCAAAGTACAATAATTTGGTTGGTCATAGGATGTTTAATTAAGTATATGTAAACAACACTATAAATTAGATAGCATTATGATTTTCTATATTTTAATCGAAAGAGAATGCTCTCTAGATATCCAAATAAATTACATGTTGTACTTTTATATTTAATGCAAAAAAACTAGTAGAATGGGCAAAAGCTGTTAAAATGCCTTATTCCATAAAAATCAATTTGGGTTTTCTTTCAAAAGCGCTTTAACAGCACTGAATTTCTACACAGTACCATTCAAATATTCTCCACAATAACTTTCAATTCTATATTTATAATAGGAAGTAATAAAATCACAACCTATTACAGTATTTATTTTATCTCATCATTAGAGAATCCACTTAATTTTTAATAATAGTATTATTTAATATAATATTAATAATTATAATTTTAATAATTATGCATTAATACCTGAAACTCTAATACTCATTACTTACAAAAGATAAACTACTTTAAATCCTTTGATATAGCATTTCCTGCCTATTGAGTCATCATCAATAAATTAAATGCATTTCATTTGCTAATAAATAATTTGTTACAGAGATGTATTTCTGTATAGTGAATTTTGGCCCAAATTTCAAACATAATAATTTCATACTAGCCAGTTACATACTTTAAGATATATACTAAAGTACAATAGAGATATTGACCATCTGCAACTTACTGTACTCCCCCATCTCAAGAAACTATATAAAACTCAATATGTAATTAGACTAGAGAATATAATATAGAAGTATATGCTTTAAAAAAAAACCATAAGGTGATTATTATTCCTAGGAATACACATGTTTCTTCTAGAGAGTAAAAACTATAAAATTATAATACCCTTAGTTGTGTAGGTTGTGCACCAAACCATTTTTGGATATTTTCAAATGATGCAGATTTTCTTGATAAGAAATACTGTGAAATAATCAAATGAAAAATATACATTAGCCACAAATACTATTTGGTAAGCTAAAATATATAACCCTTGGCTAATAACTGTTTAGGTAAATTAATGAAATTCAGAAATACTAATTAAAATACAGATACTGAGTTTGAAGTCACTGACTTTATACAGAGGAAGAGAACTTAAAATCTATCAATTAATGTAGAAGAGTGTATAATAATAAAAACTATCTTGTTTTTTTAAAATTCAGCTTGATATAACAAACACCAAGTACCTGCTATGTACAAGGTAGGACAGTGCAAAGCTACCCAGCTGGTGTAGGTGGCATTGGTGTGTGTGAATGTATGACAGATACGCTAAGCCATGAATCCCCTTCACCCTGGGGCTGCTTTAGTGGGAGCCCCTGGACAGTCTCCTCTAATCATGAGCAATCTCAACCTTATAGTTTAGGAAACCAAGCAAGTGTTACCACTTACTATAACAACACCCAGACTGGTGTTATTATATTAAGAGTTGGAAAGCTCTACTAAACTAGAGTGCAAAATACAAAGAAAATGGCACGTTCCATATCCTTAAGCATAATAATGATGCAAACAGTAATAAAGAAATATCTAGGCCAGATCCAGTGGCTTACACCTGCAATCCCAACAGTTTGGGAGGCTGAGGCAGGAGGATCACTTAAGCCTAGGAATTTTGAGACCAGTCTGGGCAACATAGTGAGACCCCATTTCTAAAAAAATAAAAAAATAAAAAAAACTAGCTGAATATAGTAGTGTGCACTTGTAGTCCCAGATACTCAAGAGGCTGAGGTGGGAGAATCACTTGAGCCCGGGAGGTCCAGGCTGCAGTAAGCCACGATTTTACCACTGTACTCAAGCCTGGTAGACAGAGTGAGATTTTGTCTCAAAAAAAAAAAAAAAAAAAAAAAAGGACTATATTAGGCACTCGTGAGAGAAAAATAAAACCATGTCCTAATTGTACCCCATAAAGGTCAGGTCATTGGATACACTGCAGTTAGTTATACTAAAAGTCATGACTATGCATCTGATCACCATTTAAAGTGATCAGTCTTACTGTGTTTCATGGCCACAAACAGTTTCTCCATTTAGTCAAAGACTCATATACATGTTCCTTTGATATTGAAGACCTATGCAAGAATGACTGAAAAAACTAGAAATGTTAGAAAAACTCACAACAAATATCCTGCTATTGTTTAGTGAATAACATCTTCTAACAGTCATAAAAACAGCATATTTGAGAAAATAGAAATGTATCTTCAGTAAAGAAAGCACTGAATGGTCTGAGCCATTTCCCAGAATGAGGAAGTACCAAGAAAAAAAAAAATTTTTTTGAGACAGTCTCCCCCTGTTGCCCTTGATCTCCCATGCTCAAGCCATCTTCCCACCTCAGCCTCCTAAGTAGCTGAGATACAGGCACATGCCACCACATCCAGCTAATTTTTTCGTTTTCTTACTAGAGATGGGGTTTCACCATATTGGCCAGGCTGGTCTCGAACTCCTGGCCTCGAATGATCTGCCCACCTCAGACTCCCAAAATGCCGGGATTTACAGGCATGAGCCACCATGCCCGGACCCAAGAAATAATTTCTGGAATTACCATAATTAATATCTGGACTGTAGGCAGATATACTAAACAATCTTAATTAAGAACAAAAATTGTACCTACCCAAAAATTTGTTCTGCTGTGTCGACGAAAAGTAATGGCACTGCTTTTATATGAAAATTTATCAGTTAAAAGTCTGCTTGCTTGAACACTCTGTGATAAAAAGATAACAATTTTAAATTATGTTTTGGAATACTTTTTAAAAGCCTACGATGACTGTTACTTCACAGTACAACCATTATTAACAAAAGAGAAAACATATGAAAGTAGTGTAATTCTAGAAAACACCAGAGATGCATCAAAGTCCAGCTACAGCCATAGTATTTGGCTAAAACCTGCAATTTGGCTTCAGTGTTGGCATTTAGCAAAATGGTTATTTCTACATTATTTCTGACATCCTTAATCTTAGGAGTGATCGATGATCCTATGATCTCACTGGTTAACATTGAATTTATGTAGCATATTAATATTAGGATTATGAACAAGACATTATCTAGTTTGCCTGTCAACATATGAATATTCATTTTTAAATACAAGCAATCATTCTAAATGTAAACTGGAATGAAATTTGCCTTAAGTGCTTTATGCTTTGAATTCTATCGGTTAAGTATGTAGATATATTTATTGTTGTAAGAGTAAACTGCCACAATAATTAATGTTATTATTAAATGTGCTACTTCTCTATCTTGTAATCAGTGTTTTGGATATGCAGAAACCTAGAAGACCTAAATTTGACAGTTGGGTGGATTAATGATTAATTAAATCATACTACTACTTTGTTTTTTGAAATTGTGAGGTCTTGAACACTAACATTAAAATTTTTTTAATATTTATTGAACAAAAAGTCAGATTTTAAAAATATTATGTAATTATTACTGACAATGGAGAAGGTTATGGGTAACTTAGGAATCACCAAGCATTGAATTTTTGCTAAAAATCCTCTCAAGTTATATTTTCAGAAAGTAGTGATAGTACAATGTATGGTAAGATAATTACTGGACATAATAGAAAGATACTGGTCACTTTCATCATTATTCTTTAAAAACAAACTACATGGTATACCAGGTATTTTCAAACCATTTTGTCATATGCTTACACAAGATATTGAAATATGATGGAATAGCAGATATTACATATTTAAAAGAATGCTTTTAACAACAATAAGGACAACAACCTTAGTACCATGCTTCATAGATATCAAAACTTTGGAACTTATTAACAATCAATGGTTACTTGTTTTAAAAAAGGAACCTATATGCTGGAGCCTTGGAAACTGTCAAAATAATGCCCAAACTAAGGTATCTTGAGAGGGCACTTACAGTGTTGCTTATGTGATATCCAATGGAAAAAAAAAAAGTCCCCCTACTCTACCCCAAAGATATTGTTGAAATTGGTATGCATGCAATAAAAGCTGGGATGCAAAGAGAAATGGAAACAGTTTCTTTAAAAGTCAATAATGACTTCTGCTTCTAATTATGTAACATTAGGAACTCTGCTGAGGACAACTGAGAGCTACATACAATTTGAAAAACAACGGTCAAACCATCAGAGAGCTAGAAAAATGAAAAGATGAGCCAAAATCTGAGAAAAAAACAAGGACCAGAAAAAGTAAGCCTACTATTCAAAGATGCTTTGTTCTCAGAATGTTTGCCAAAACAACTATAACTCTGAGTTGCAGATTTGGCAATTTCTTGGGGCAAGGGTGACAAAAATCAAAGTCCAGAATCTACCTGAGATGTGGAGCCTGATAACACATCCCAATTATATATAAACTGGAATACCACAGAGGTACACCCTCAGATTAAAAGTGGGTGGAAATAATCAACTTTTTTGTGGACTTTCAGTCTGGGCTCTATCACGAGGGTAGTCAGAGAAACTCAAGCCCCAACTTTAGATTAAAGCTGTTTCTAAATGGTAAAGACCTCAGGTTCTAACAAAAATGTCCTTTGGAGCAAGAAAATGCCATAATGCCATTCTAAGTCTCAAATGTTTCCTTAAAATCATGTTTTAAATACAATGATAAGCAAACACGTAAAGACAGACAGGTATACAAACAAACGAAACATCATAACATAACAGATTTAAGGAAAAACAGAAATACTAAAAAGAACCATATAAAAAACAAGTTTAACAGTATATTATACACAACTAAAGAGAGAAATTCGTGGACCTCACCGATAACATAGGTTAGAAGAAATTGTCCAGAATCCAATACCAAGCACAAGAGAGAAAAAAAAAATACATGTGATTAAAATCCTAGAAAATGAAATAGAGAATGGATAGACATTACTAAAAATTTTCCATAGCTAATGAAAGATGTCAACTACAAACTCAAAGGATTTCAATATGTGATAAATAAAAAGAAATATACACCTAGACACATCATAGTGAAACTATAGGAAATGCAAATGAAAAACTTAAAACTGGCCAGGTTTAGTAGAAGCAGAAAATGCATTAGCTTCAAAGTCTTTACATTTAAGACTTACTTCTCAACAGCAATAATGAATGCCAGAAGGAAAATTGTTATCAATGCATTAATAATAAAGATAGACTCTAAGGTAAAAGTGTTTACTAAAATAAAGTAGCTCAGTTCATTACTGAAAGTTTTGACTCACAAACAATGTTTAACAATTCTTCATTTGTATGCATCTAATAACATGGCCCCAAAATATATAAAGTAAAAATTGACAATATTACAGAAAAATATAGACAAATCTACACCACAGTGGCAGATTTAAACACCCAGCTGAGGTTGAACAAAATGTCATTCTGCCTTCTTGTTTTAGCTCTCGTACTGTAAAGAAGTTTCCTCTTCATGGCCTATTTAGTGTCGTGTTTTTCACATTTTTGTGCTTTTGATTTGTGATTTTGCTCTTTAAAATGGTCCCCAGTATAGTGCTGAAGTGCTGGCTAGTGTTCCTAAGTGCAAGAAGCCTGCAATGTACATTACAGAGAAAAAAATGTGTTACATAAGCTTCTTTCAGGCGTGAGTTATAGTGCTGTCGGCTATGACTTCAGTGGTAATGAATCAACAATATATATTAAATAAGGTGTCTTTAAATAGAAAACCTCATAAAGCAAGGTTATGTATTGATCAGCTGATGAAAACCAGAGGCTCACAGGACCCTCGCCTTCTACTTCCCCTAAGGGCAACAGTTCAATATCAAGTAATTCAGTGCTTGAGGTGACTTTATGGAACATAACTACCACAAATGACAAGAATCCACTGTACATGTTTACTGTATCTGTACCTCACACCAAAATGTGTAAGCTCCATGAAATTAGTGACCTTGAATTTTCATTGCTGCAGCTCCAGCCTCTAGAACAGTGACTCAAACATAGAGGTGACTGGCATGTATTTATCTGATGAATGAATGAAAAAATGACATGTAAAAAGACTCACGTCTTCATTTTAAACAAGACCAAGAAGTTCCAAGTGGGATGAATGAGAACTACAGTGTCTGAATACTTATTATCAACACTGGATGCTGCCTGGCAAGTAATTAGAACAATAGAATTTTATGCCACATCAAATTGGAATGCAAGAGGCACAGGAAAATAAATATACATCCACAAATACAAGTACTCCAAAATTTACCACCCACAAACCTTTCTGGAAAGAATTAGTCAAAAATATAATAAGGAAAACAAAAATGATTAGAAGAAAGGAAATGATATAAGACAAGAAATTGTGGAAAGAAAATTAAGTCAGAAAAACAGCTAAATCTATGTAATTGTTGATGCACAGAGTGAACATTGAAATTATCAGGAACAAAAATATTTAATGGTCTCAAATGTGGCAGATGGCAGATGGGAGTAAAGTGAAACATTTTAAAGTCTTAACCCTTCATAGAAAGGATATAGATTCTGATTGACTCTTGATGTGTTTAAATACATGCCAGATATTTTTAAATAACCATGAAAATGTAAAATCATGAGTATATTATATCCAGACTACTGAATTTTATTTAAAAAAGAACAACTGAAACTTATAAGTTTAAGAAAAGGAATAACAGGTGAAAATAAAAAAGGCAGCATCAAACAAAAAAAATAAGTTAAATTTGCTTTTTAAAAATATAAGCACATAGATCTGTGCATCTAAATATCATTTCCCATTCATCAGAACCAGCAGTCTTTGAAGAAAGAGTCAATGCCAGTTCTGGTGAAATGAAAATGTCAGGTGAGCTTGAGCTATCTTTTTGTGCCAGAAAATGCTATTGGATCTTTTTCTCCTGGTCTCTGGGAGCGGACAACCACCAATACTGATTTTCTTTCGGTATTGTAGTAGTATCAATACTACTTTTCTATTGGGTTACTCCATGGTCACCAGTTCTCACTAACTCTTCCTATTCTTGCTACAATTTCACTTCTTTTAAAACAATTTTGCCTACCCTCAATTCCCTACATTCACACTTTCCTGTAAACATACATAGAAAAATATATGCCCATACTTTGTAAACAAACATATAGTTTAAAAAACATTGCACTCATATTACAGAATCCCTACTCTGTCCGCTCAAGTAGAAGCAGACATCAACAGTATAGGATAAAAAGAAGGTACAGGAATAGGCAGGGAGAGCCTTCAGAACACTATGCAGATTTGACATCTGTGAAAGGGGATGAGAAAGGAAGGATTAGGTAGGAAGAGCTTCAGACCATGGAACAGTTCTAAGAAAGATTCAATCAGGCAGATGAAAAGTCCCTGAGCCAAAATTGCCCATGAAAGCAATCACAATCAAGCAGGAATGCATCTGCTCTAGCAACCACCTTGTGCTCAGTCCCTGGCTGGGAGCAGCCCCAAGGAAGCATGGCCTTGGAGCAAATGCCATGTTAGGTCTACAGGACAGCAGCTGGAGGCCGCCAGTCAAGTATGCCCCCTCAGCAGATTTTCTTGAAGCAGATTGTGAGCATCATATTTTCATGGATGCCACATTGACTTATGCAAATTAATATTCACCAATCTTTTGCATTAAGGTAATCTTTTCATATACTTTATATTATTAACTTTCTCCTTCTAGCTCATGACATATTTTTCAAAAACAATATGTATTTTCTCAAGTAAATGAAAAGGTTAGACTGCATTATTAAAAAAATGCAAATATATATAATCTTCTAAGATTTGAAATATACATACACTTTGACTAGGAATTCCAAACAGAAAAATACACATGTGTGTGCAAAGATATATATTCAAGTATTTTAAGTGAAAAAAATTAAGATGTAGAATAATATAAATTACAAATGCATATATGTAAAAGTATTCATTTGCACACACCTGCATGACATAAATGACAATGAAAATATCTGAATGGATACACAAAATGCATTTAACAATGGCCAACTTCAGGGAGAAGAGAACTGGAGAAGGACAGCATTAAGGAGGGGGAATGCTCTTTATGTCATATTCATCTTTACTGTTTGAATTTTTACTACAAGAAAGCATTCATATACTACTGGTGTGATTTCTGAAGCAATTGTAATAGCCCTTGCCACTCTGAAAACAGCACAGACAGTAGGGTGTTAACAAAAGAGAACAGAAATTTTAAAAAAACAGAAATCACAAAATGAAATAATAATAGTAGGACAAAAACACCATATGTTACTTATATGGCACAACTAAACAAAACAAAACAAAAACAACAAAAAGTATTAACATAAAAATATTTCTGAACACAGAGAAAAGAACACAGGGCTAGACATACTAGAGTAGAATTCAAGCATTGAATAGGCCAAACTGGATCATTTCAAATCAATAAGAGACAAAATTCATGATAAAGACAAAGCATCTTCTAATCACAGAAAGTAAAACTATTAGTAACACGTGGAAAAAAATTTTTTTTTATTTTTTATTTTTGGTAGTGATAGGGTTTCATCATGTTGGCCAGGTTGGTCTCCAACTCCTGGCCTCAAGTGATCCACCCACCTCAGCCTCCCAAAGTGCTGAGATTACAGGCATGAGCCACCACGCCCGGCTAACATATGGAAAAATTGACAAGACATAACTTCATTGAAAATCCGTATTTAATTAAAGTCTTTATAAGATCAAATGAAATAAATATACCACATAAAATGTAATAATATTACAATATAATAGCTAAGTCTATTATTATTTGAGCACCTACTACTTATCGAGCAATGCACCATATAGTCTCTCATTAAATCCTCAAAAAACACACTGTGCAAACAAAAAAAAAGAGACTTCATGAGGTTAAAATAATAGTACAAGGTTACCCAGGAAGTAAGTGGATATCAGATTCGAGACTATCTGATTCCAAAGGTGTGCTCTGCTTAGTCTGGCCACAATATAAAAATGATAACAAATAATACCACTGAATTAACTGAGAGATATTGGGATATCTAGTACAAAAAAGCAAATATCCATAAATTCCAAGAAACTGGTATTTTGAAGAATATATTTCTTACACTAATAACGTTTTAAAATAAAATTTTAAATAATTCCAACAAGCTTTTAAAAAATGTTTAAACACTATGGTGTATCAAAAAGAAAAGGGAAATTGCAATAGAAATTACTTTGAAAATAAATAAAGACACTGCAAATGAAAAGGTTTGAAATAAGGTCAAGTACACAGAAGAAAACTCATAAATTACTTATTTTAAAAAAAGAAGAAACATGAAGAAATTAATTAAGTTTTCAGCAAAAGAAATTAGAGTCTGGGTGTGGTGGCTCACACCTATAATCCCAGCACTTTGGGAGGCCAAGGTGGGCAGATCACAAGGTCAGGAGGTGGAGACTATCCTGGTTAAAATGGTGAAACCCCGTCTCTACTAAAAATACAAAAAATTAGCCAGGCGTGGTGGTGTGCGCCTGTAGTCCCGGCTACTCAGGAGGCTGAGGCAGGGGAATTGCTTGAACCTGAGAGGTGGAGGTTGCAGTGAGCCAAGATTGCACCACTGCACTCCAGCCTGGTGATAGAGTAAGACTCTGTCTCAAAAAAAAAAAAAAAAAAAAAATTAGAAAAATGCCAACATAGAATGTCAACATTCTATGGAAAGCAGAAAGCCAATAACCAAAAATATGTTTAAAAGGAGAAGTAACAACACTGAATTAATAATTAATCCAAAAGGGTTTTGGTCAAAGACAGTGGGTTAAACTCATGTGTTTTCCTGGTTGACTGGCCATGATATGTAACAGCCGGGGAACTACGTATTACATATCTTTCTAAAAAAATAAAATAAAAGGGATGGTGTCATACTGGTATGAGTATAGTAGTCTGACACATATAGAGAAAGCATTTAATTTAAAAACAAATGAAACAAGAAAAAAACTACTTTCTAAAAATTCTGTTCTAAGAAAAAAAATCAGAAACACCATCAGAAAGGAAAAAGAAAATGATGCAATATTAGAAATGAATATTAAAACTGACAAAATATATGCAACTCTATGCATATAACTTATAAATCTCAACTAAATACATAGCTTTCTGTAGGAATATGTTGCCAATTGACAAGAAAAATAGTAAATATGAATAAGTTAAGAATTAGAAAAGAAAAATTTTTAATTATCAAACAATTACCTTACCAAATGGCTCAGATGAGTCTGAACAGTGAATTCTTCCAACTTTTCAAGATTATTCCTATGCCATATCAATTTCAGAATATTAAAAATGATGAAATGCTAGCCAGTTAACCTTATAAAGCAAGAATAGCTCTGATAGCAAAGTCCAACAAAGGAAAAAAAAATACACTACACAGATATTTCACCCATGAGTATATATTTAAAATTAAAAATAAAATATGGCCTAACAGAATTCAACATAATATTTAACAATAATACACTATGAACAAGGAATCCAAGAAATGCAAAGATATTTCAATATTAACATTCTAAACATGTAGTATCGACAGGTTAAATATGAACAAGACTCCAACCATGCCTTGGTTGCAGGGAAGCTAGGAGATAAATTGATGACCCCATTTCAAGCAACAGCATACATGAACTGAATGTCTTCATATTAACCTTACCTCTGGCTTTATTATGTTATTACTCATGTTATGTTTTCCCCACAATTTCTTTAACTTTTTTGTTTTATCCTTTTCTGATATATGTGTTTTCATAAGCTGCCTACAGCGTTGTGCAAATAAAATAATCCTGAATGCCACTAAAAATTTATGTACAATGATGCTCATCACTGAAATACTGTAAAAGAAAAAAAAAAAAAAAAAGGAAAAAGCAGAAAAGAGGAGGAGGAAAAAGGAGAAGAATTTTTACAAACCAAAGAAAATGAACCAAAAAGTGGGCAGCAATTCTCTGTGGGAGAAGAATAATAGGTTATTTTGTTTTATTTCTCCTTATTTTTCTAATTTTTAAAATGATCAGTATAACATAAAATGAGAGTAATCATTCTTCTTTAAGGGAAGAAAAAAGATGACCACATTTGGGTATTATTAAATGTTTTTAATATTAATTTAATTTAAAATGTGATTTTAAAAACAAATGAAAATACCATGAAGATCTCTAAACAACTCAAGTAGCTTTATATCTTGAACTCTCAATCAAATAAAACATTCTTTCAAAAAGAAAACAGAATATTCTTCTTAACTAGCTAAAGTCACATAGATAAGTATAACATTTTTTAAATATACATTAAATATATAAAATTATGGCCGGGCGTGGTGGCTCATCCCTGTAATCCCAGCACTTTGGGAGGCCAAGGTGGGTGGATCACCTGAGGTCAGGAGTTCGAGATCAGCCTCACCAACATGGAGAAACCCCGTCTCCACTAAAAATACAAAATTAGTCAGGTGTGGTGCCGCAAGCCTGTAATCCTAGCTACTCAGGAGGCTGAGGCAGGAAAATTGCTTGAACCCGGCGGGGCAGAGGTTGCGGTTAGTCAAGATTGCACTATTGCCATCCAGCCTGGGCAACAAGAGCAAAACTCCATCTCAAAAAAAATTATATATGTGTGTGTGTATATGTATAGAACATACAAAATTATAAATTCATAAGTATATATGTATATAATTCTATACATACATATAATTATTTACATATACAAAGAATTTCTATAGTGCTATCCAATTAATCCTAATTATGGCAATAACTGTCTGGTAATTTACATAAATGTCCAGTAAAATTTAACGTCATAGCCAATTATACAATTTAATTATTAAATAATAACAACAACAAAAAAAGAGAAAACCCATTTGGTATGTTACCTCATATTTTGGATATAGAGTTTCCTTCATGACAGATTCTGGAACAGAGAATTTAGGTGCAGCTGTATTCCAAAACAACTTCGTGAATTCTGGATAAGCACACATCTTTGAAAACAACATAAACGGTTATTAGAAATGGTAAGAAATGGCCGCAAGAGTAAACACTCTATCTCCTGTCAAAATTATTTTTAGTTGCTGAGAATTTTTGGTTCCACAGCTTCTGAAAATCTGGTAAAGAATTTTTTTAAAGCCATCAGGTTAGCAAAAATGTAAAAGTCTGCATTACCAACTGACCCTAAGGACTTGGGGAAATTTGTAGAACACACTGGAGGCCAATTGGCCATATCTAGTAGAGTAGAAAGTGTACATGCCACATCTTCCTGGAATTTAACTTCCAGCTATATAGTCTAGGCAAATTCTTTCACACATGCATGGGAAAATGTGTTTGGGATATTCACAGAGCATGTGAAATAAAAAAATTAAACCCAATCTAAATAGCCATTAATAGAGTAACATAAATAAAATGTGGTATACTCATAAACACCATAAAACACATTAAAACACAAAAATTATGATCTAGAGGTGGATCTTAGAAGCATGGTATTGAGAAGAAAATAAGCAAGTTTTAGAAAGAATCATATAAAACCATGTCATTTATATAAATGTATCCAGAAAACACAAAAATATTATTTATTGGTTAGGCTCACGAATACATCTAGTAAAGTATAAACTCATGGAATAGAAAAACTACTATAATTATACCAGTAACTGCTGGGTAGGGAGGAAGAGAAATGGAATTAAGAAGTACAAAAGGCCTTAATTTAATAATTTTTAAAATTTTATTTTAAAAAATATGAAACAAGTATGACAAAATGTTAACATTTCCAAAATCTTACTAACATATTCTCAGGTGTTTGCTAGTTTGGTTTCTGTATTTCTTTTCCAAATAAAAATTAATCAGGCCTAGGGGATATTTTTAGCGATGTGAAAGTATTCTGTAGAATTGTGGCTACATGACATTATACATTTTTAAAAACCCACTGAACTTTGAAGCATAAGAGTTGAATTTTAATGCAATGCAAATTGGTGCCTACAGCCATACCACCCTAAATATGCCTTGATCTCTTCTTTAATATGAATTTTTAAAAATCATTTAGGAGGTCAGGAGGAATCCCAGGATGGAATGCAGAATGTAATAAAACAGTCTAACTGTATTACAAACATATGAAACAATCTCACCTAAAGGGGTGGGGGGAAAAGTTGCTGACCTCAGTTACATTGGAAATGAAGACATAAAACTTAAGGCAAAAGGAACTGTGCACATAGTGTTACACATTAGGTAATAAAGTTGTATTCCACATGATTATGAATTAACAATTCTGATACTTCTATGCTTGTGTACTGGAATTGAAAAATTTAATAAATTGAGGGAGAATTACGAAAGACTGGTTTGTCACTGCTGGAGTACAAGTGGAGTAGAAAAAAAGGAAGGAAACTAGAACGACCCATGAGGTAATGGATTAGAGTTGGATGCATCAGTAAGAACTCATATTTAGCTTACCATAGATACAGATGTTTACATATAGAAATATGTATAGATACATATATTTATTTATACAAGTTTGTGTACACACATATATTTCCTTGCTTTGACAGCTGACAAGACCTAGAAGCAACAATGCCCAGTAGAAACAAGTACACTTACTGCCTGGATCTTAGTTTTTAATTATATTCCCCAATAAAGAGACCTAGGACTCCTTGTTGAAATGGCTGATTCTAGGACTAGGGCAGGAAATATACAAGATGAACCTAGAATATCTAATACTGCCAAAAATTAAGAAAGTGTTATTTTAAAAATCCCACAATGATAGGGTGTCAAAAGAGACATAGGAGCCAACTGAAGGAGTTCCCAATGGCCAAAGATCAAAAAATTTTATCAAAACTAATAATAATAATGTAATATTGGATTACAACTCAAAGTATAATGTAAATATTCTCAAATTATACTGACATAAATAAATGACTGAGTAAATAAATAAATGAGAAGAATAGATACACTTCCTATACAGAAGAATTCTAATAAATTTTTGTAGACACTCTACCCTCAAGGAGATGGAGCATAACTCCCCACTTCTTAGGTGTGGCTGCGCATGGTGACTTTCTTCTGAAGAGAATAATATGGGAAGGGAAAAAAAGAGAGACTTTAAATGAAGAAAAAACACTACCTTGCCAGGTGATCGAGGTTAACATCAACATTGATAAATCATGTCCATAGCACATACCCCTGATACCTGATGAAAACGGCACTTTTTACCTCAGTGGTCTTCCTCAGAAAATCACATAATCCCATCAAATCAGAGAAACATCATGGCTGGGTGTGGTGGCTCACACCTGTCCCAGAACTTTGGGAGGCCAAGGCTGGAGGACCACTTGAGGCCAGGAGTTCAAGACCGGCTTGAGCAAGTAAGACCCTACAAAAAATCTTAAAAATTAGCCAGGTATAGTGGCATGTGCCTGTAGTCCTAGCTAGTCAGGAGGCTGAAGTGGGGGGATCACTTGAGCCCTGGAGGTCAAGGCTGTAGTCAGCCACGATCACGTCACTGCACTCCAACCTGGGCAACAGAGCAAGACCCTGTCTCTAAGGAAAGGAAGGGAGGGGAGGAGATCAAGCAAATCCCAAATAGGAGATATTCTACAAAATACCTGACCAGAACTCCTCAAAATTGTCAAAGCCATCAAAAACAAGGAAAGTCTGAGAAACTATCACAGCCAAGAGGAGCCTAAGGCAGACTTGACAACTAAATGTAAATATGGTATCCTGGATGAGATCCTGAAACAGAAAGAGGACATTACATAAAAACTAAGGAAATCTGAATGAAATGTGGATCTTAGTTAACAATAATGTATCAACATTGGTTCATTAATTTTAACAAATGCACCATACTACTGTAATACGTCATATAAATTCCCGAGGGCAGCCATAACAAATTACCACTGCTTGGCTTAAAACAACAAACATTCTCTCACAGTTCAGGACTCAAGGTGAAGGGAGGGCCATGCTCCCTCTGAAGACTTTAGGGAGGAATTCCTCCTTGCTCTTCCCAGCTTCAGGGGTTGCTGGCAATCCTTGGCATTCTTTTGCCTGCAGCAGCATCACTCCAATTTCTGTCTCCACCAGCACGTGGCCTTCTTCTCTGAGTGTCTCTGTGTGTGTTCACATGGCATTCGCCTTTTATAAGGTTACGGGACTCAAGGCCCACCCTATGGATGATCTCATCTCAATATCCTTAACTACATCTGCAAAGATTCTATTTCTAAATAAGGTCACACTCACAGGTGCCATGGGTTAGGACTTGGACATATCTTTTGGAGACAACTATTCAATCCACCATTACTATGTTAATAATAGAAGAAACACAGTGTGGTATGTATGGGAAACTGCCATACTGTCTTTATAGGTTTTCTGTAAGTCTAAAACTATTTTTAAAAATAAAACTATTATAAAATAATAAGCTGGGCACAGTGACTCATGCCTGTAATCCCAGCACTTCGGGAGGCTCAGGCAGGTGGATCACTTGAGGTCAGGAGTTTGAGACCAGCCTGGCCAATATGGTGAAACTCCATCTCTACTAAAAATATAAAAATTAGTTGGGCATGGTGGCATACGCCTGTAGTCCCAGCTACTTGGGAGGTTGAGGCAGGAGAATAGCTTGAACTCAGGAGGCAGAGGTTGCAGTGAGCTGAGATCACATCATTGCATTCCAGCCTGGGCATTGCAGTGAGACTCCACCTCAAAAAACAAAAAATAAAATAAAATAATAATAAAACAGTAAAAAGAAAAAATTTTCCATAGTTACATACAAAAAAATAATAATCAGGTATTCATGACAAGATCTTGAAGAAAATGTGGTAAGATTTTAAAATAATAGCTTTATGAAGCCACAATATTATTGATAATTATGTTTTGCCACAATATTGATAATTATGTTTTCTTTAATATTTTTATTTACTTGTAATAATATTTAATTGGACTATGCCTTTTCCCCAAAATGATCTGTCTTTCACCAGGAAAATGAGCTCAATTTTAAAGCATCAACTGCAAAAAGACATAACTCTAGCTTTAAAAATGAATGCTTAACAATGACATCTGGAATGTGGATGATACACAGACTTTCCAGAGTAATACATGAAAACCCAAACCCAGTAAATAAAGATTCACTATTATAAAGTGTCACTGCATCTGGAGTGCTTTTATTTCTAGTCAGAGATATAATCCTCAACTATTCCATATACTTGGTCACATGTTTCCTGTTTCCCAGAAGAATACAGTATTTTGAGAAAGGCAGATTTTGTAGTTGCCAGGTAATTTTTCCAGCATAAGACTTCAAAATTAAGTTTTTGGTCTCACTTGTCCTGTTATGCTGGGCATAGCGCATCACTTTATGCTGTACAGACCTAGAGCCAGGAAGTCCTTACTAAAAGATGAATAAACTCTTCCAAAAACAGCTGGCAAATCTTCTAAGGATCACCTACACATTAAGAGGATTTCAGGTATTCAAATGTTATGTCACATAAAGTACAGTAATTTTTCCCATGGAGTACATTTCCAGCAGCTTAAGCAACCAGAATAAAACTACTGCCCTAGAAGTTAAGATACAAGTCTCCAAGTAGGAAGTGCAGGAAAGCTGTCACTAAACAACAATAATTTGCTCTCAAGGGAAAGTACAGATGCACCTTCAGGAGAGAATTTATTAAATTAAACTAGTAAATAAGACTAACCATGGTAAATTGCTTCTCCTAGCAATGCTCAGAACTTCTAAGAGTCCTAGGAAAATATTGGAAGCAACAGAGGTAGTGGCTGCCAGAACTTGAAAGGACAATGGCTGTTGCATAGCAAACTGAATGACTAACTCTGAAGCATCCTGGGTTAATGTGTGTTTAACAGTTCCTGCATACCTCCTAAGGCCATGATGCATATTACAAGCTGATACAATAACTCTTGTTCATACTGATGACCCAAGGTCAGAGTATTCTGTTCACTAAGGGAAAGAGACATGCAAATTAGTTTCAGGGTCAAGTTAAGTTTCATTTAAATGAAACCTAAG